GATCAGAAAAATGATGGCGAGGCCTTCCTGTCCTTTTTATTAGGTACAATGGTCTCCTCACAACGAGACAATCCTGGCGTCCAGCGGCACCGACCGGCGTCTCAATGTCTGGGATCTCAGGTAACACCTCGCTGTCAGGCGGAGCTTCAGATCAGGGCGGGGCTTGAGACAATGACACTAATGTATTTTTATTAAAAATACTGATATCGATTTGTGTCGTTTTAGCAAAATCGGGGAGGAGCAGTCTGCAGAGGACGCTGAAGACGGCCCGCCAGAGCTCCTGGTAGGTGATGATGTCAGCGTCACGTCTTTAAGTGACACTCACATGTCTTTATTCTGATCACATGATCATGGCTGACCTAAAACACAAACATGTTTTAGTTCATTTTGACCTTTCGATGACACAAGTGCGCTTACTCAGATACCGTGACGTGAGCAGAGAGTGTTCGAGTGTTTCAGGTGTGATCAGCAGGTGCATCATTTTCCTGTCAGAACAAAGCCCCGCCTCTCTAACCTGCCATTGCTGATCTCCATCAGTTCATCCACGGCGGCCACACGGCAAAGATCTCAGACTTCTCCTGGAACCCCAACGAGCCCTGGATCATCTGCTCGGTGTCTGAGGACAACATCATGCAAGTGTGGCAGATGGTGAGCGCGCACGCACACAGACGCACACAGACGCACACAGACACACAGTACGTGACAGTAACAGATCAGATGAAGTGGTGGGTGGTGCGACAGCAGCAGCTCTGAGTTCTGACATGGAAATGTCATGTGACTTGTGAAAGCCGACTTCAGGAAAACAGAATATCGTTTCACTCGCACCAAAGACCAAACCATCTGGAAGCTCATTTGGAGATGTTTCAGAAACAGTGTCACGAGCTCGTTTTGATTTCAAGAACATCGGCCGTCTGATCCTCCAAACAAAGATTTATTTATTTAAACGTGCTCGAGGTGCGGTGATGGTTTCCGAGGCTGAGCGTGATGCAGGATCCGTGCTGAAAACTAACAGAGACTCTGGGAATGTTGTCTTACTGGAGCCGTCTCGGTTGTAGCGTTCAAGGCCTCGATCGGCTCATCAGCTCCGTGGTCACGGCGCTGTAGCTACTGTGCATTCTGGGCTGAGCTGTGCAGCGTCAAAGCTTTGCCTCAGTCGCAGCTTGTGGATCCTCCAACAGGACAAAGACCCAGGAATGGCTGACAACACAGCAGTGGACCACTCTGAGGCGGCCGTACGAGCCCTGATCCAAATTCCGATTTTATTTGTCGCATACACAGTACGACAGACCAGGTACATGAATAAAACTAAAATTACAAATCAAGTATAAAATTAAAGTTAAAAATCCAAAATAAAAAGGTGCAAATCAGCAGACAGTGATATGAGATATGCAGAGTCTCCAGTCCTACACCTGGAGTAGCCTGGAGGAAGCTCCTCCTCTTTCTCTCTGTGTTGGCCTTATTGGAGCGGAAGCACTTCTCTGACCTCAACAGTGAGAGAGTCCATTGGTGGGGTGGGAGGAGTCTTTCAGCATCTTCCTGGCTTTGGTGCTGCGTCACTTGGTGTAAATAGACCCTGTGCACAAGAAAATACTAACTTCCTGTTTTAAGAGCGGATGTAAAGTTGTACATTTCCAGTAACTTTATTTTGCTACTGCGAAGATGGACTCCCAAACACAAAAATGCAAAGATCGCGTTAAGTTACAAAGAGCAGAAGGTGGGAACGCTCACCATTACTGTGTCATAAAAAATCAAATGATCAATTTTGACGTTTGAAGAGTGTAGATCGATTGTTTACGTCACTCAACACAAGCAGAACTGCAAAATCAGAAGCACATCTCTGCATAGTGACAGTTCTTATGATTCAAACAGGCAAATGTGGAGCATTCAATCTACAGGCGAACAACAGTGAAAGCCAGATGTTTCCCCGTTATGTCGATATCAGTACACACCATCACAGCATGTCAACAAACCGTGAAAAAAGCCACAGTAAAAAATGAATGAATGGTTGCTGATCAGGGTTTCTATACGTTAGTATTTACGAAGGGTATGTTGTGACGTACCTTCATAATTACAGCGGTCCCTCACTATAACGCAGCTGTGCTGTTTCACTCATTTTTGTAGTGCACTTTTGCATGCCTTTTTTTTTTTTTGTATACAGCGCATTGTTTCTGCATCCTGATCGGCTGCAGACCATTGTCGATCTCCTCCGTGCCATCTCTCCTGTACAGTACAGTGTGACTCTAAAGATGCTAACCATCGCACAAAAAGTTGGACTTCTGATTCATAAATGTTGAATTCTCTGGCAGCGGCTCTACTCCATGTTCTGGACCTGAAAACAGGGTTTGATCTGTGGTTTCTATAATACTGGACTTATTTTTCTACAAAGGTTTGAACTTTGAGTTTAAACAAGAGAGAAAAGTGAAAATGTTCATGCCTGCCTGAGAAAAGTGTACAAAGTGTACAGTGAGGGGGTTTTACAACCTTAAAACATCTATAATAACTGTAAAAAATAAAGTTGGCTACTTTGTTGAACAAGGAGTGAATAGTAGCAAATGCTAAGGCGCACAGAGTCAGGTGAGGGAGCTCTGAGCGAATGATGCGTTCGGCAGAGCGCACCGCTCCTCGGCGAGCTCATCTGTCCTGCTTGGTGCAGATATTACCCATCAGGATGCTCTGGATGGTGCATGAGCAGCACAAATCCCACCTTTACCTGTAGAAAGAGCTGAAATATCCAGTCTGGAGAAACAACCCTTCAAACCCGAGAGTGTTTGCACATGGAAAAGAACATCTGTGGACAGCTGGAGAAACCGCTGGATTGCAGCGAGAGCCTCAAAAAGTTAATATGCATGTAAATGTGAATGAAGGTAGAAGAAGGTCCATCATTGTGTCAGAGTACAATGTTTTTAACATCGGGGGGGAGAGGACTGTTCGTCTGACGTTCATCAGATTCCTGATCTCTCTCACGCCGCCCGTGTTGAGGTAGGAACTGCAGCGCTGCTTCTAACGGTTCCTTCCTTTCTTGCAGGCGGAGAACATCTACAATGACGAGGAGCCCGACAACACACCTGCGTCAGAGCTGGAGGCTCAGGGATCATAACCCCGCACAGGCTCCACCCCCCCAACCTCTGACCCCCACCCGTCCTCTCCCTCCCTCTGATTCATCTCAGTGCGAAAAAGAGCAGCGCGGAGCGTTGGAGGCGTCTCGCACTCCGGCGCCGTCTCGCTTTGCTTCACCACTGCCCGGTACCCAAAAGCACCGACGCACCTGGAAAAGAACTGAAGTCCCTCTCGGGTGGGCGGAGCTCGATGGATTGGCTCTGTGTGCACGCTGTCGCTGTGAATTCATTTTAAAAGGGCTGACGGAAGGACACGCAGCGTTACAGCATAGCTTGCTCCGTTCCTCCACCTGCAGCTCCTGTTAGATGTTCCCGAGTTGACGACGCGTCCTCCAAACAAACATTCCCGCTGCGTTCGCCTCCCGCTCCTTCGGTACTTCCTCACCCCTGCATTTGGCTAAATTCCTACACCCGAGGGAAACAGACGTTTGTTCTGTTACATGATGTGAAACTTTAGTTTTTGGTTCCTGCACCTCTGATCGCAATAAAGCTTTTGTAACTTTTCCAAAAATGCGTCTCAGCACTTCTTTAAGATTCCTCATGGAAGAGTCTTCAGCTTTTAAACGTTCCTAAAGTAAATCCTACTTGTATTTCCCTGAATCCGGCCTCTAACCATCAGCTCCTGTATCATTTGTGCCGTTATGATCAACATGAGGAACAAACAGAGGAATCAAAGAACAGAAACCAGCAGCGCTGCAAATTCTACAAAACGTTTATTGAAAAGCGAGACAGACTGTAGGAACACGGTAACGAGGGGTCGTGGGCTCGTTAGTCAAACAGGAAGCTCTCCAAAGCTGTGACGCCTCGTTGTTCACAGTCTCACCTGCAGAGGTAGATTCCGACATTACCTGAGAGTCAGAAAGAAGAAACGAGCCGCAACCTTTGTCCAGCGTCACCACCTCCATCCTCCATGTACAGTCTTTTAAAGAAGTCACAGGTGAAATCATGTCGAACACAATCCGTTACCTGACAGGTCCAAACACTGATCATGTGACTTCATCTGGTCCCTTCATTATGTGTGTGTGTGCGGGGAACAAGTTCAATAATCTGACGAGTCCAAACGCTCCTTCAAACTTTCAGCGTTGCTGTTCTCGCAGCTGTTTCAATAAAGTTTAACGTTCTCGATAAAAGGTCGTGCTGAGGTTTTGTGGTGGGCGGAGACAGACACCATCACCTGACAGGAAAAAGATGAAAACGGATCAAACTGCCTCAGCCATTCGGGCGCCACTGCTGTGTGGTTTGAATTACAGATGTGCAGCAGGAGAACGGCGCTGAAAGCAGCTGGAGCGTTTTTTAAATGGCAGCACATCAAAAAGCCGAGAGCCTCATCCGACGCCGGAGACACTCGGAAACACGGTCGACACGTCGGCGGGACCATCGAGGGTGACCCCGAGTTAAAGTGGACCTATCCTGCTTCTGCTCACTTCCTGTCGTGTATTTCCTGTTCCTGCGTTGTGTCTATCATGTTAATGCTCAGCTGCTCTAAACACAGTTTCAGTTTTTTCTACTCTTGAATCTGGATGATGTCACAGAGAGGTGGTGCCCTGTTTTTCAAGAAGCAGCCAATCAGAATGCTGTCTTAAAGTGGGAGGAGCTAAACCAGCCTATTTCAGCAGCAGTGAGGCCAGCTGTGATATACAGAAGGATTATTTTCAATCATGCAAAGCTGGTCTGGTAGAGTCCAAGAATAGAAACAAAATAGAGCCACTTTAACGACCTGGTCAAAGAAAACTGATATATGATGAAGAGAGAGGAATGTTTGAGACAATTTCCTGCCTTTGATGACTTCGTCCCCACAGAATGACCCGGAGCGGGATTTGACCCGGAGCGGGATTTGACCCCTGCTCAGGACACAGACCCAGGTGTTCCTAATAATATGCATCATTGACAGAAACCAACATTTTTTTTTATTCAGATTCATTAAAAAAAGAAAAATCACATTCAGCTTCTTCCAGTATAAAGATCACAGAGCCCATCATCATTTCCAAACATAATTTACATGAAATCACTTTTCAGAGGACGAAGGCCTTCGACTCTTCCTCACACGCTCCTCAACACAAAACACATGCATGATCCCCAGAAACGTGTTAAACGGCTTCAAAGGAGAGGAAATGACACTGGTTGACCACAGGGGGGCAGCAAACAACGCCCCAAACTCATGGTTTGTATTTGTTTTTTTAAAAACCTGACAGAGGCTGTCGCCATGCCGACTCAGCGCCTATCAGCAAGTTCAAAAGCGATCCCGCTGCGTCCCGATGGCAGCCGCGTGACATTAACGACGTGACGTTAAACTACAGTCACTTCCTGTTATTGCCAGTTGTTAATGAAAACCAAAAAACATTTATGTGACCAGACTGAAGCTGCTACATTTCAATAAAGTTCAAATTGAATCATTTTGATTATTTTTCTAAACATTCGTTTAAACGTGATGAAAGTTTCCTCTCACCTGAACGTGCAGCAGGTGGAGGAAACATCCACAGACTTATTCATCATTAATAAAATCAATCAAGACTCAATCTGCTGGAAACACTTCGAACCAACTACAATGCGAGGTTCTGCCATTTCCCGCCCCTGTGGTCGGTCAGATGACCTCTGACCCCAGTCCCGTTTTCTCAGACGCTCGACAGCGTGTCCGACTCAAATCAAAGTCATACTCGGGCGTGTGAGGAGAGAAATCGAAGGCCCGCCTGGAGGTTCCCTATGAAAATAAAGATCGAGTAGAAACGGGGAGTATGAAGAAGTGCGCTCGTTACCGTGGGCCACGATTTAGAGAATCTGATACAATCATTTATCACACAAAGAGACACGGCTTCAGCTTCTGTGTAGAAATCTGAGGTCTATGTTAAAAAAAAGAGCTCTATCTCCACTGAAGATGGTTTTCTGGCTAGTTGTGGAACTAGGCTGGAGCTGCGTGAAGCCCCTCCCACCACGCCCCCTCACCTCCACGCAGGCTGCGAGGTGAGCTCAGTCCTGCGGCGTGATCGCCGTCTCTGCAGGCTCGCTGTCACCGGGAGACGCCGTCGGGTCCATTTCAGGTGGTCTGGGAGCTTCCTGAACGTCCGCCGTCTCCGGCCCGTCACCCTGCGCCGAATCCTCCGAATCCTCTCCATCCTCGGCCGAAGGCTCTCGCGGCTCAGCCTGAGGAGATGCGGCGCTCCCTTTGTCTCCCTGCTCCTGGAGGAGGCTGAGTCGGTTATTCAGGTCGTTCCTCTCCTTCTGCAGAGCTCTGCACAGCCTCTCCAGCAGCTCCAGCTTCCCCTGCAGAGCCTTGAAGTGACCGTCACGCAGCGTTTTCTGCAAAACAACAACATTCAATCAGGTCCAGTTTCATGTAGGAGGAAGAATCAGATGGATGAAGCTCCTGTGACATCACCGCCACCATCATGCTGGTTTTCAGAGATCAGAGCCTGGTCAGAACTAGGATGTCCAATTACAGAAAACTCCCCTAAACAAGAGAGCCAATAAAATTCACTACGAATAGCCAAACAGTTAGCAGAGAGTGTGTGTATGATCAACAACTGGCTCTCAAGTAAAAAAAGAAGGCCACGCCCCTAATAAAACAAACTTTAATCCAGGCGTGTTTTAGGAACATCCTCCACCGTACAGGTGTAATGAAGGAGGAAATGATCCACAGAGACCAAACAGTTTGTGTATCAGGATGTAAACGTGTTTATTTCTGCTGGAAAGTTCTAACATGGGAGTCTATGGGGACTGACTCACTGCTGCCTCTGCTGGACGTCAGAGGAACTGCAGCTTTTGGCACTTCAGCATGGCTGCTTCTTTCAGCCCCCGAGCGTTGGACCTTTACGTTTTAAAGGCTGTGACGGTGCTGAACACTCGATTTGCGAGACACTAATCAGTCTGGCTCTCCTACGTCTGCTCCTGCATTTCTAAAGTGTGTGTCTGAAACATCTGAGGCCAAAAACGTGCCTCTATCTTCATTTTACATCAACATCGGTCACTTTAAACGTTTCGAGGAAAACAAAACAGCCCATGAAGAAGAATCACCTCCTCTGCCATCTGCAGCAGCGCCTGGTTATTACTCTCCCATTTGGTCCTCCACTGGGTCGTTTCCTTCTCCAGCTTCTTGATCTTCTTGGTCATCTGCAGGCACACAGAGAGTTTAGAAACACAGACAGGTGAGCAGGTAACCGCACGCTGACACGCAGGTGACTCACCTTCTCCATCTCTTGTCTGAAGGTGGTGAAGACCTCGTTGCTTTTAGCCAGAGTGCTCTGGAACTCCTCGAACTTGTCCATGTACAGAGAGAGCTGAGAGACGAGAGCAGTGAGTAATGGAGACGATCCAGCCGACCTGTGTGTGTGTGTGTGTGTGTGCGTACCTGCTGCTTCAGCTGGGTTTCCTGCTCCTTCATCAGCTCACACTTGCGTCTGGACTCGGTGGCGTCCTTCAGCAGCTGCAGCGGCACAGACACAGTCTCTCAGACACTTGAGCTCATTTACAGCTGCGATAAAAACCAGAACAAACTGAGATCCTCACAAAGTCTCTCTCACGCTGCTGCTTCTCCTCCACTTCCTTCATCATCTCAGTGATTCTCTGCAGCTTGGCGTCCATCAGCTGCTGCTGCAGCTCCTTGTGCTTGAACACTTTGTCGATGTGCTGCAGAGAAACAACAGAAATCACGTTTTCAGACCTGAGTGACTGTAAAGATTACTACAAAAGCAACGTTTTTCTTGCTGCTCTAATCCCAGCCAAGCTTCTCAGGTCCTGCTTATGTTTCTCCTCGTGCAGGACGCTGTCACAGCGAGGGATCTGAATGTGCCGAGGCCATGAACTCTTCAGTCACTGCGACGTGACTAGAAGAGTAGATTTAAGACTGTAATTGGCTGTAAGACCTTTAAATGTGTATCTAAGACGACTTAAAGGACCTTCGTGGAGGCAACGTATTTTCCATCTTTGGGAGATGAAGCGACTGCCTTGTTTTTAAGTTTAAAACATCTTCCACAATCAATTTATTTGACCATGTGTGTTGTGACCAGAGTCTGGAGCTGGCAATGAGGGTCCTGGAGGGTTACTCCAACCAGAACCTGCTGCAGACGTCAGTGTGTCACAACCAGGCCGAGTCTGTGTCGTGACACCCAGAATGCATTTCTGCCTTTTTAATGGCAGCATTAATCGTCTTCATAACAACCAGCGCTGACTTCATGAGCAGGAACAGACTGTTCTGATTGGACGGCAGGCTAAACTCACCTCCTCTCGGAGCTCGTACTGCTCGATGAGCTTCTTGAGCTTCTCGGCCAGCTCCATGTTCTCCTGCCTCAGCTTGGTGTTGTGGGCGCTGTGCTGCTCCATCTGCACCTCGATGTCGCTCAGGGTCATCTGGAAGTGCAGCATGGCCTCCTTCCGCTGCTCGTCGTACTCCCTGGACCGCTGGGCGTTCTCCTCCTGCGGGGTTAAGGGGAGGAGTGACACCTGCACAGATGTAAAACGGTCCTCGTCGGGTGTTTGTGGCGGCTGAACTACCTTCAGGGTCTTGTTGTGTCTCTGCAGCTCCCGGCAGAGACTCTCCAGCTTGCTGCGGGCCAGGATGGCCTTGCTGTGCTCCCCCTGCAGGTGCACCTTCTCCTTCACGATTTGAGACTGCTTCTTCTGCAGGGCCTTCAGCTGCTTCTGCATGCAGCGGCTCTCCTCCAGCTGAAAGACAGCAACAACACAACAAACCGGGTCATTTTTATGTTTATGGACACAAACAGGAAGCTGACGGCGGCGTGGTGTGTGTGTGGAGGCTGATCTGAAAGGGGACATCTCTAAGCTCAAGTATCACTCAGAAACGTCTCACCGGTCGTATCCGAGTCACAGTCAAACCTCCTCGTACTTTCTTCTTCTTTATGTCTAAATCTGTGAGAGCTTCCTGAGGTCAAAGGTCACCTTTGTGTGAGATGGTGACGTGAAATCTGAAGCGCGAAACAACAAGTGCCCAGCTTGTTGGATTCATTTACTTCTGTGGCTCCAAAAATACAAACTGAAGCTTTGTGATTATTTTCAAACATTACTGTTGTTCACACTGAGCTTCTGCTGATTATTACTCTGTGGGCGTCCACTGATCCACCCACAGAGCTCTGTGGGCGTCCACGGATCCACCCACAGAGCTCTGCTGAAATCCAACCAAACGACCACGATCACTGCTGTCAGAGCGGGAAATGATCGACCAAGACTCACGGAGGAGCTGAGAGCGTGTTCACCGTGTCGCTAAATCTGAATCTATCTGCTGCTCGTGATGTCTCTGAAACGGAGCGACTGAGCACGTGCTCCAGATCACACTGAGAAGCCCAGACCAACACCACACCAGTGCTTCCTGTCACCTGCTCCCAAGTGTCGGGAGTATCTGCTCAGTGTCGGTGTGTCGGATTTGCGGCTCACCAGGTCGGCGTATTTCTTGCACAGAGCGGCCAGCTTCTCCTCAGGAGTGGCGAGAGCGTTCAGCGCCTGCATCAGAAGAACCACCTCCTTCCCTGAAACCACACAGAAGATCAAAACTGAACAAACCAACGAGGAAGAAACTGACATCAGGTGACACAAGAATAGAAAAGCTTCAACACAAAAATGTCCTGTTTGGTAAAACTTCCATTTCTCTGGTCTAAACAAAGAGCAGCTGAATGATTCTTATTCAAGTCTAAATATGTGTAACAGTATCTGTGTGAGTCTGTCAGACACGTGAAGCTTCACACGCGACGTGTTTTCATTTTTGTATGTAAATATTGAAATGTGATTCCTGAGGTGAGAAACGCATCCCGGCTGTTCAGTGCTTCTAAAGTTCTGCTCGTACCAAAAGCTTTGTCCTCTCTGTTCTTCGCATCTCCGCCGGCATCGAGCTCCGCCTCCACCAGGTCGCTGGGACTGTCCTCTCGGCCTGGAGTCTCCCCCCTCTCCTCATCGGTGCAGGAGAGCCCCAAACCAAACTCAGACACCTCCTCCTAACAAAAGTCACATCCATCTATTAGACAATTATCCTTCAAACAAGTTCTCTCACAGAGATCTCGCTCTGTGCAGGCTCCGCCCCTCTGTATCTGACAGCCCAACTCGGAGGGAAACACAGAAACCTCCCACAGGTCACTGAACAGACATGAACAAGCAGCAGCACAAACGACGAGCCGTCCACGCTCACCTGAGACGGGCTGTCCAGGTCGGGCGGGGAATCGTTGCCACCTACGATTCGTCTCGTCCCCACATCGAGCTCGCAAACTCCCGAAGTCTCCATCAGCGTCGGTCACGAGCTGAAGGTCAGAGAAACACGAGATTACCACATGATGGAAGTCAAAGCACGGAGACATAAAACCAATGATCTGACCCTCAAATCTGCAGTTGGGTTTACTGAAGAGGTCAGAGTGGTGGGTGGACACAGTGGAGTTGTTCTCATGTCTCTAATTCTAGACATGTATTTCCGTTCAGGTCTGCTTCAGATTAGCAAATATAGCTTCATCTTATTCACAATATCAAACAGATGAGAAAGATTTAACACTGACGAAGAATAAACACTAAATCCACGTCGACATCACTCTGGGCGGTGAGCGTCGCCTTCCTGCTGACAATGACTGACAGTGACCTCAAACCCCTCAGTTCACCTGCCTCAGGTGGACAACAGCAGGTTGTGATTTATTCTCAGACAGGGCTGATCCTCTCTGACTGTGTGATTAAACCCACTGCTGTTGTTCCACGCGGGTAAACACACATCACTTACCACACACTCACACACTCTGTTTGAGCATCAACTGGTGTTCCAGGTGTTTATAGACCTCTGTTGGTGCTCTGTCCTAAACCCTTCTCCTCATTTAAAGTGTTTTTATAACAGAGATCAGCCACAGCTGCTGTCAATGTCAACAATACAACTTTTACAGTAAGTCTTTCTCGTGGAATAAACCCTAACTGCGTGAAATAAGCTCAGACTTTCAGCTCGGCTGCAGCCTGATAGCTTGAACGGGATGAAGAGGATGAGGAGCTCGTGCTTCTCCACAAAGACACCAGGACTGTGTTCACAGTGAAACACGCGTGTCCAGCAGCAGCAGGCTGACCCTGTACGCACGATGGTAACAGTCTGAGTTCAGTGCACACACGCGCTGAATAAAAC